GGCTGTCTCTGATCAAACTGGAAGATAATCACAAGAAATAAATTTAAAATAAAAATAATTATTTAGGGACCAGCAGTTGGCGTAATGGCTATGTTGCTGGACTCCCATGTAGCAGACAACGGGTCAAGTCCCAGACCCAGTGGCTTAAACTCACACCAGGCGCATGTGCACGTGTGCCCCAAGATCCTGAAAGGAGAATGGAGGAGGAGGGATTGCAGCGTGGCCATCCCCCCGGGGGTGATTTCTCGTTCTCTGTCTCTCTCTCTCTCTGTCTTTCTGTCAAATGCATATGCCCTATAGCAAAAACCTCTCATGAATAAAAAAAAAAAAACTTTAAAAAGAATGTATAATAACTGAAATGAAAAAACTCACTACAGAGAATCAACAGTAGATGTATACTGACAAAGGAAATAATCAGTGAATTTGTACACGGATAAAAGAGTATATAATATGGGGCCAAAAGGGCCAGCAGGTGGCGTGGTGATTAAGGCACTGGACATTTCCACACAACCAACCGTGGTTTGAGTCTTAGACCTGATGGAGTGCTTTCTCACTTTTCCTCCCTTTCTGTGTCTCTCTCTGGTCAAATGAAAATAAATGGATGAATAAAAATTAAATAGATAATTCTTAAAAAAAAAAATGGGACCAGCAGGTACCATAGTGGTTAAGGTGCTAGATCCACATGGACCAATGTGATTTAAATCCCAGACCTGGCAGCTTGAAAATCACAATCAGCACATGTGCATGTGTGCCCCAAAGTCCAAGAGGATAAGGGATTACGGTGTGGCCATCCCTCTAGGATTTCTCACTTCCCCTTCTCTGTTTCTCTCTGTCTCTCTCTGGCAACTGCACACATCCTGTAACAAAAACCTAAAAAGAAAAGAGTATATCATTTGAAGAACAGAGAATGAATGAAGACAAATTAGAATAGTCTTAGACAACCTTAAGATATCTGTAAGTATCCCAACTTAGGAATAATGAAATCACCAAAAGAGGGAAATACTGAAGAAATAAAAGCCTGAAAGCTTTCCAAATCTGAAGAAAAACTGTAATTTACAAATCAAAGTAGCTCACTGAACTCTAAACAGAGTAAACAAAAAGAGATCCATGGGCCCACCCCAGTAGTGCAGTGCTTAAATCCTGTGCCCTGGAAGCTAGACTCCACATGGCCAACTACGGTACAAATCCTGTTCCCAGTGGCTTGAAATACACACGATGGGGCCAATAGGGGCCTGGTGGTTAAGGTGCAGGACTCTCACATGGCCAACCAAAGTTAGCGTCCCGAACCTGGTGACTTGCTTTCTTATTTTCCCTCTCCCTCTCTCTCTGATGAATTAAAATAATTATTAATAAAATTAAGTAATTTTAATTAAAAAGAAAAAACACGGGCCAGCAGGTGGCAAGGAGGTTGAGGGCACTGGACTTCCACATGGCCAACTTCAGTTTTGAGTCTCAAACCTGGCAGCTTGCATTCTTACTTTCCCTCTTTCTCTCTGGTCAAATTAAATAATAATAAATAAAATTCAATATCTAATAAAATTAACTCAGATATCACATATGATATATATTTAAAGAAATCAACTCAAATCGACCAAAAACCTAACTGTAAAAGCCAAAACTATAAAACTCCTGGCGAAAATAAATAGTTAAACTGGACTTCATCGATACTAACTTTTGTGCAACAGAAGACACATCAAGAAGGTGAAAAAACACCAAAAAAATAATTTAAAATGTTTACAAATCATATCAAGTAAGGGACTTATGTCTAAAAGCTATAAAAGAACTCTTATTAACTCAAAAGACAACATAATTAAAAAACAAGCAGGTCCAGTTCCATAGCCTAGTGGTTAAGGAAGCCAGTTCCCACAGGCTGACCAGAGTTTGAATCCCAGCCCTAACAGCTTGAAAAACATGGCAGGTGCAGGTGCATTCCCAAATTACTGACAGGATGGTGGGATGGAGAAGGGATTGCAACATGACCACACCCCACCCTGGGGGTTCTTTCTCCTTCTCCCACTTTCTCTCACAAGCACATGCACTCTGGAAATTAAAAAAAAAAAAGAGGAAGCAAAAGACTTGAGTTATTTCTCCAAAGATTATAAAAATTATAAAAGAGTATTAAATGTCTTTAGTCATCAAGGAAATAAATAAAAACCACAATGAGAAAGATACCACTTCCTACACAGTAGGAAGGCTAGATAAAAAAAGTCAAATAATGGGAACCAGCAGTTAGCATAATGGCTATGTCGCTGGACTCCCACGTAGTCGACCGCGGTTCGCGTCTCGGACCCGGTGGCTTAAATCTC